TCCCTGTCCCTGGTCCCTCCCTGTGAACCGTGCCCATGTTCCGTTCCTTTGGTCCCTGTCCCCTCCCTGTGACCCCTGTCCCTCATCCCTTCCTGTGACCCCTTCCCGTGTCCCTGCCCCTGGTCCCTGCCCGTGTTCCTTCCCTTGGTCCCTGTCCCTGTTCCCTCTGCCCACATTGGGGTGATGCTGGCCCCAGCTGGATGAGGGGCACCGAGGAGCAGGGAAATACCAGCCCTGTGCCAGCTGCAGCACAAACAAACACTCCAGCATGGGCTGATTGCAGCACAAACCACACGGCGCTGATTTCATGTTTGTTTTTCAGTCCCTCTGCGACACTTCAGCCTCCGTGGTGATTGAGAAACTCCAGCAGTGCTGGAGAAGCAAGGGGCAACCCCATAGTAAGAGTTTGGTTTCTGTAGAGATGAGGCCAGCGATAAACACAGACAGACTTTCTAATTTGGGGCTTGTGGTGTGGGTGGATGCTGCAAGTGGATGCTGCAAGATGAACCAGTTGCCAGGAACTGCTGTCCCAGTGACACAGCAGGGACTGGTGAAGAATTATTGATCTCCCAGCACAGCCTGCAGCCCCCAGGAGGCACTTGCCAGGCTGGAAGCACAGAACAGCTCAGAACTGCTCCCTGCCTGACATGGAATGAAGCAGCAGCAGAGCAGCAGAGCTTCTCCCTGTCCCAGGACAAGCAGCTCACTCCCAGCTCAGCCTGGACATGGCTGGCTGTGCAAACTGACCACGTGTGCTCATGGACACATCCAACAAGCTCCAAAGGTCATCCTGAGGCCACAGCCCTGTCTGGGAATGTGGGATTTGCCTCCAGGACCTCAGCTGGCTGGCTGGCAGCACACAGGGCATGGCCAGGCATCCTAAATCCCTTCCAAACCCTCTTCCACACCAGCCCTAGAGCCACAGCTGGAGGCTCCTGGAGCATCTGCACTGCCTGGCAGGCAATGGGGCACCCCAAAACAGCCTTCTCAAAAGTTCTGTTCATTGGTATAGCTGGGCTGGAGCTTTAGTCTGAGGTACAAACCTTCCTCACCTCTTCTCTTCAAAGAAAAAGAGACTTTGAGACAGCTCAATTACAAAATAACATTTAAAACTGGTCAGGGTTTATTAGGTGCCACACATAGCAGTGAGTTGCTGTGCAGGAGGCTGGAACAGGCCGAGCTGTTCCCTCCCCGTGGTGCTGCACAGTGGGACACAGAACTCACAGGATGGAGAGGGACATAAAACAGGGCATTCTGACCCAAGTGACCTGGAAATCACTTCCAAGCATCCTGCCCCTGCTCTTGCCTTGACTTGCACTCCTCTCAGTGGCAGAGCGGGGATTTCAGGTCTGTTCCTATGCCCACAGGGACACCCCACACTGGCTCTGCACCACATGATGTGACATGTGCCAGCACAGTCCCTCCCTCCAGCACTTCAGTGCTGCTCCTTGAGTGCACTAAACCCAGACAACCCCTCTGAGGACACACGGGGCTCATGGCAAGGGAGCTGAAGCTGAAATTACAGGCAGTGAGGACAAGCCCAGAGTCTTGGTTGGTGGCTGCACCTTGCAGCACATCTGAGGAGTGTCTGAAGCCTGGCTGTGGCTGTGGGAGGCACCCAGAGATTGGGCACAACCCCACAGGGCTCCATCCTTGGCCCACTTCTCTTCAACATCTTCATCCAACACTTTTGCTGCTTCAAACCTCTCTCCATTTGTCCTTTGCTGAGCTGTTTGTCAGGGCTGAGCTTCTGGGCTGGCTTTTTTGGTGGGCTGGATTTGATTTGTTAACTCAGGGCTTATTGCTATTCCATTGTCAATAGTGCGTAGCAGAAAGAGCTGAGATTTAAGAGAACTCTTTGGAACCTCAACAACAGGCTGTGTGTTGTGGCTCATGTGCTTTCACAACCCCTTTCTTTCCAGTTTTTCCAGTATGGCCTGAATTCTGTGGACGGACTCTTTCCTGGCCTGCCGGACACTGTCCTGGCCCCCAGTCTCAATGGAATCCAGCTCCAGCAGCAGCTTGGTCAACATCTCCTCCAGCAGCCTGTAGGATTTATCTGTCTTTTTCCCTACAAACTCATCCACCTCCTCCTCCAGCTGCTCAGCCTCGCCCATGACGTGCAGGATCCTCTGAATCTCCGGCTGCAGGGCTGCAGGATGTGTGGCAGGCTGCTCAGTGGGTTTGAAGCCCAGCTCGTGGCTCCTGGCCGTGGGTTTCCGTGAGGTGACGTCGTAGAGCTGGGGCTGGGCACTGTACTGCACCCTGGGCTGGGATGGGGCAGCCTTGGCCACCCTGTGCTCATTTCCTGGCCCTGAGTGCCGTTGGTTGCCATCAGAGTAGTAGCTGTGCTGGGTGGGGCTTTGCTCAGCTCTGTTGTAGACAGAGTCCTGCAGTCAGAAGGAGAAAACATCTCTAAGTGCATTTCCTTTTAACCTGCAGCTTCCTGCTCTCATCCTGCACCCAGCAGGGCTGGGGATGCTTGGGACAGGGAGCTGTGCTCTGTTCCTATGGCAGAAACAACAGCCCAGCAAGGAGCACCTGTGCACAGGAGGAATCTGAACCCCCCATCAGGGTGTCACAGACATCTTTTATGAAAAATCCTTTCTTTAGGATTTTCCCTCCTGAGAAGCTGAGAAGCATCAGGAACAAAATGTAAACAATGGTTATCTGCTGCTGTGGAATGCAACAGGTGGATCTTTGATTAGCCCATGTTAGTTGTTTCTAATTAATGGTGAATCACAGTGAGCTAGCTTGGACAGAGAGTCCAAGCCACAAACCTTTGTTATCATTCTTTCTTTTTCTATTCTTAACTAGCCTTCTGCTGAAATCCTTTCTTCTATTCTTTTTAGTAAAGTTTTAATGTAATATATATAATAAAATAATAAATCAAGCCCTCTGAAACATAGAATCTCTTCCCTCAACCTGAGACCCCTGTGAGCACGGTCACATCAGGGCTGCTACCGGGCACCAAAAAAGTGGAGTCACTTTAAATCCTGTCAGACCCATTTCAAGACCCACCCAGGACATTTTATCCTTCACAAGAATCCCAGCCATGGGTTTGAGTGCTCTGAGTGCAAACAGGAGCTCACCTGTGCCTGTGAGTCCCAGCAGGGAGGGTGGGAAGGGGCCCCACTGCCGCTCCAGGCTGGCTGTGAATCCGAAATGTAGAGGCTGCCGTGCCCTGAGGCGGGCCAGGCGTAGCGGGGCTGCACCCCAAATCCAGAGTGGGGGCTCCAGGTGTCCTCCAGGGCTCGGGGCTGGGGCACTGGGCCCTGCCCTGTCACCCCTGCGCTGCTGTCTCCGTACTGATACTGCGGCATCGGCATGCCTGGGGTCTGCAGGGATGGGAACACGAGTTACAGGGGGGCACTGAACCCTCACACAGCTCTGGGACAGGCGTTATAGGGGGGGCACAGCACCCTCACACAACTCTGCATCCTCACACAGCCCTGGGAGCTGGGACAGGCATTACAATGGGGTCACTGCACCCTCACACAGCCCTGGGAGCTGGGACAGGCATTACAATGGGGTCACTGCACCCTCACACGGCCCTGGGAGCTGGGACAGGCATTACAATGGGGTCACTGCACCCTCACACAGCCCTGGGAGCTGGGACAGGCATTACAATGGGGTCACTGCACCCTCACACAGCCCTGCACCCTCACACAGGCCTGAGACAGGCATTACAGAGGGGTCACTGCCAGCCCTGTCCCCTCACACAGCCCTGGGACAGGGGAACAGAGGGATCACTGTCCCCTCACACAGCCCTGGGAGCTGGGACAGGCATTACAGGGGGGTCATTCCCAACCCTGCATCCTGACCCAGCCCTGGGACAGGCATTAAATTGGGGTCACTGTCCCCTCACCCAGCCCTGGCAGCTGGATGGAACAGCAGCAGCTCATGTTGGCCGCCCCTTTCCCACTTTCCTGACCCAAAACCTCAGGCTCTCCAGAGAACAGGGTGCCCACCACTTTTGCTCAGAGCAAAACCAGACAGCACCAGGCACTCAGAGCCACTTCCCCTAGCACATCCCCACCACCCACGCCATGAACCACACACCCTGCCCTTACCTCTGGCGGGGAGTAGCCGGGCACCTGCTGCCTGCGGAGGGCCGAGCCCTCGGGGGGACACTCCGGGGGGACGTAGCTCCAGGCGGGAGCGGGCGACGGGGGCCGGTAGAGGCCCGTGGGCTCCGGGGGGTACGGGCTGCGCGGGGGCCCCGAGCAGTAGAAGCCCCGAGGCTGGGGCAGGCTGGCGTAGTGCGGGTACGGGGGGCTGTAGGCTCCGTTGGCATAGGGAGAATCCATCGCCTGGGGACAGGGGAAGAGCACAGGCAAGGTGATGGGACACGGGCACAGGTGATCCAGGAATGAGGTCTGGCCCTTCCTGCAGTGTTCTGCCCCAGTTTTAGGCTTTCCTGGTCTAACCTGGCTGTACCAGATCTTGCTCAGCCAAGCTGGGCTGAGGGGAGGATGTGCAGCCCCTCACAGTGAGCAGCTCCTGGAGGATTCAATGCCAGCTCTGCATTACCGACGGGAGGATGGAAAACTCTCCAGAAAAGTTCATTCGCAAACAGACAAGCTCTGCCAGCCAGTGTTCATGAAAAGCTCATTCTCAAACAGACAAGCTCTGCCAGCCAGTGTTCAGCTCCTGGAGCTGCAGCTCACGTGGGTCTCTGCCTTCACATCCAGGCCACATCTAAGAATTCACCTGAATCCATCCCATAACTGATGGGTAGAGAACTTGAGTTTCCACCTGGCAGAGGGGATGCTGAAGGACAGGATTTCCCTGTACCTTCGGGCAAAGCAGCATTTTTCCACCCTGAGCTGCTTCCCACAGTGCAGGTTGTACAACCTGTGTGCCGGGATTTATGGAAGGGCCGGACCATCCTGACAGCCCAGAGAAGAAACCAAACCAAACCAAAGCGTGGCTAGAGAGCAGAGCCTGCTCAGGCATGGCAAACCCTTCTCATCACACGGGATTTGCACGGCAGCCCTAAGCCCAGCTGCCATCAACCCCGCGGGTAACGGAACCGGCAATGCCCCGCCGTGGCACCGGACCCGGCAATGCCCGGCCCCGTTACCGTGGCCCTCCCGCTCCGCAAAGCG